GCTATTTTAAAAGTAATATAGTTGCTACACCTCACATAGTGTGTTAACATGGTGTTATCCTTCCTTCAGACACAGTATCGGGGACATGGTCGGGAGTTGGTCGAGAATGGCACTGGTATGGATCTGGTCGACGGTGTGGTGGCTGTGGGTGGTGACGGTCTGGTCAATGAGCTGGTGATGGGGCTACTCATGGTATCCATCAGAAGAGCTGGTGTGGATCCACATGACCCGCAGGTTACGCTGCCCACCACCCACCTACGTCTCGGCATTATACCAGGTAGGTATAATGACAAGTCAGCGTGTGCTGCTGTCCTGTCTTGTCTACATATTTATAAAAAAAATTCTTGTTTGTGTCCTAGTTCCAGCATTTTTTATAGCTGTTGAAGTTTCTTGAAGCGATAAATGCAATTACCAGTATATTTCTTCCGATTATGTCTCCGAGTTCATATCATCCATAACAGAAAAAGAGAGGAAACTTAGAGGCAGACTTTTTTTTTTTTAAATTGAGTAAATTTTGTGTAAATTATTTTGTGCCTTTCTCTCTTGTATTCCAAGGAATACATTTGAAGATAATTTAATATTTCCCAGTTGTTCAGATGTTTGAATGTACAGGAGCGGTGAAAGTTCTCTGTATGTTTTCAAGTTCAGCAAATCTCACTTTCCCAGAAGTGTTAGTATTCCAGCCTGGAGAAAACAAGTGACTTCAAGAGTATCATCATTGGCTCAGTAAATCTTTGTCTTCAAAATTCCAGTTATCCAGACTATAATTTTCCTTGTGGTAGCAAGGAAATGTGAGATCCTTTGAAATCATCACTCCCAAGTGTTGCACAGGGAACTTTCGCTCAGTTGAACGGTTTAAGTTTGTCATATAGTACTCTGTTTCAATCTTTATTTCCTACATTTTTCCATAATGGAACAACCGAAACTTGCCCTCGTTAAACATCATATTGTTGTCTGAAGCCCAGTGGAAGACTTGATATATATCAGCTTGAAAATTTACTGTCTTTGAAGAATACCACTCAAGAGATTCTGGTGTCATCATCAGAGGATGTTATGTTGCTATGGTTTGTGTCCTTGTCTACATCAGTTATAAGAATGAGAAACGGAAGTATCTAGAGTGACTGGCAATCTGTTCACAGATTTTGAGGATGTGTGAAGTTAGCACACTTGTTCTATAGTTTTTTTTTTTTTTTTTTTTTTTTTTTTTTTTTTTTTTTTTTTTTTTTTTTTTCAATTTCTTTACTGCCACCTTTGTGAGGAAATATCGGTGGTTTTAAATGACTGTGGTATGACATCTGTGTCCAGGTTCCTCCATAAAATACTGAAGGCCTGAGATAGTAGTGCTTGTAGTTTTTTATGGATATGGAGTCCCATGAGTCTGCACCTGGGGCAGAATGCATGGGCATGCTGCGATAGCTTGACAGGTATGTCAGATTGGTGTAGGCTTGACATGTATGTCAGGCTGGTGTAGGCTTGACATGTATGTCAGGCTGGTGTAGGCTTGACATGTATGTCAGGCTGGTGTAGGCTTGACATGTATGTCAGGCTGGTGTAAGCTTGACATGTATGTCAGGCTGGTGTAAGCTTGACATGTGAACATCAAAATGGTATACAATACCGACAGGTTGGTAGGTAAGACACATAGGCAACAGTTAGGCAACTTTATTCCGAAATGTTTCGCCTACACAGTAGGCTTCTTCGGTTGAATACAGAAAGTAGGCAGGAACAGTAGAGATGTGAAGACGATGTAATCAGTCCATCACCCTTGAAGTCGTAGAGATAGTTCCTGACTATGGAACTGAACTTCTCCAGGCTGAGGGACTGACAACCTCAAATTCTACGACTTCAATGGTGATGGACTGATTACATCGTCTTCACATCTCTACTGTTCCTGCCTACTTTCTGTATTCGACTGAAGAAGCCTACTGTGTAGGCGAAACGTTTCGGAATAAAGTTGCCTAACTGTTGCCTGTCTTACCTACCAAGCTTGACATGTATATCAGGCTGGTGTAGGCTTGACATGTATGTCAGGCTGGTGTAAGCTTGACATGTATGTCAGGCTGGTGTAGGCTTGACATGTATGTCAGGCTGATGTAAGCTTGACATGTATGTCAGGCTGGTGTAGGCTTGACATGTATGTCAGGCTGGTGTAAGCTTGACATGTGTTGAATAAATTGATGTAATTATTCCCCATTGCAATGTTTTTATCATCAGTCACACTTGCTTCCAGGTGGGAGCACGGATGCCATGTGTCATGGCACTCATGGCACCAGTGATGTGATCACCGCAGCACTGCACATCATTATGGGTGAGTCCGTGGCTCATGGCTGTCAGCCAAACTCTTGTATGTACCAAGACTGATAGCAGGTAGCAGGTTGATAGTCAAGATCTATGGGAGGTACTGCCATCACATACTAATATATAGATATTAGGTTGATAGACATATGCTACGGATCAGTGGGACTAGGAAGGGTCGATGGTCTTTTGTTGTTATTATAATCGTGGGGGAGCGCTAAACCCTTAGGATTATGCAGCACATGTGGGGGGATGGAAGGTATTCAGGCTCAATTCAGGGAACCAGAGCACAGATCCAATACCCTAGATCAAGAGCCCCTCACCAACGTCAAGGAACCTCCCTTAAGGGGTGGTCTTTTGTTAATTTTATTATTAAATATTTTAAATACAGTGGACCCCCGGTTTACGATATTATTTCATTCCAGAAGTATGTTCAGGTGCCAGTACTGATCGAATTTGTTCCCATAAGGAATATTGTGAATTAGATTAGTCCATTTCAGACCCCAAACATACACGTACAAACGCACTTACATAAATACACTTACATAATTGGTCGCATTGGGAGGTGATCGTAAAGCGGGGGTCCACTGTATATGTATTTGCTATAACCCATTCTTCTGATCAACTTTAATTTCCATAAAATTGACTGAAAACTTTTCTTCTGAATTAATTCACCCTTGAAAGGTTTAAATATCTTACGAAATGAACGATACATTTAGGGTTAGAATGTATTGGTGCAAATTTGCCAATTTACTAATATGAATGTCTAGTTAAATGATACTAATAGGATTATAAGCACATGTAATGGGCAGGATTCAAACACAGGGCAGTCTGGTCCAGAATGTAGTGGGCAGGCACTCTAACCACTGGAACATACTGGCCAAGTAAGATGTATTCATCTATGTATTTCTAGTCTTTTTGATGTATAGAAATATAGCTAGTTGGGCTAATATAATTAAGTCAGGATAATACAATGGTTAGAACACTGGCCTGATAGTTTTAGGACTGGCCTACTTTGACCCTGAATCCTGCCCTTTCTGTTTAGGGTATTATTCAGTGTTGATGACCTTGTTCAGAGCAGGAGAGATATAAGAACTGAGACAAATACAGAGGTCGTTAACAGCCCAAGCAGAGCCACTAAATTTCTGGAACATTTCAGTTTTAAATATGAACTCTGAAGAGAAGAGAGGGATACATGATAATATATACATGGAAAGTACTTGAGGGCCTAGTTCAGGGATGGGAAACCTACAGCCTTAATGTCACATGCAGCCTTCTAGGGCATTAAATGCAGCTTTCTGAATGAATTATTTTTCATAAGTTATTACACAATTAACTTTTTACAAAATAACCGACATTTTGCAGTATATAGTATATATCTAATCAAAATTTCTTGAATGCAGCCTCATTAGATTACAGCTGATTCTAATGCACCTTTCCAACATAAAAATTTAACCCACACCTGGCTTAGTTCCAAAACTGTGTGCTCCCATAACAACATACTGGATGGAGAGATATGGGAGAAAATGTACAATAAATCCAGTGAAACTGAACTCCAGGTGTGGAAAAATTCTCAAAACTCAGTAGAGGTATAATCAATCTGGAATTGTTGGATTCTATGCAATAACTGGAGAATGCTCCATCTGGTCAGCTTCAGACTTTTAGCGCTGGCATGTTTTTCACAAAGAAAGCTGTGCATTGACTTTGGGGGGTTTAAGTTTTAATGTTCCAATTTTATTAAACATATTGGTTTACCTGGAGAGAGTTCCGGGAGTTAACGCCCCCGTGGCCCGGTCTGTGACCAGGCCTCCTGGTGGATCAGAGCCTGATCAACCAGGCTGTTACTGCTGGCTGCACGCAATCCAACGTACGAGCCACAGCCCGGCTGGTCTGGTACCGACTTAAGGTGCTTGTCCAGTGCCTGCTTGAAGTCAGCCAGGGGTCTATTGGTAATCCCCCTTATATATGCTGGGAGGCAGTTGAACAGTCCCAGGCCCCTGACACTTATTGAATTGTCTCTTAACGTGCTAGTGACACCCCTGCTTTTCATTGGGGGATGTTGCATCGTCTGCAGACTCTTTTGCTTTCGTTGTGAGTGATTTTCGTGTGCAAGTTCAGTACTAGTCCCTCTAGGATTTTCCAGGTGTATATAATCATGTATCTCTCCTGCCTGCATTCCAGGGAGTACAGGTTCAGGACCTTCAAGGACTTCCAGTAATTGAGGTGTTTTATCTCTGTTATGTGTGCCGTGAAGGTTCTCTGTACATTTTCTAGGTCAGCAATTTCACTTGCCTTGAAAGGTGCTGTTAGTGTGCAGCAATATTCCAGCCTAGATAGAACAAGCAACCTGAAGAGTGTCATCATGGACTTGGCATACCTAGTTTTGAAGGTTCTCATTATCCATCCTGTCATTTTACTAGCAGATGCGATTGATACAATGTTATGGTCTTTGAAAGAGAGATCCTCCGACACGATCACTCCCAGGTCTTTGACGTTGGTTTTTCGCTCTAGTATTTTGTGGCCAGAATTTTTGTACCCTGATGACGTTTTAATTTCCTCACGTTTACCATATCGGAGTAATTGAAATTTCTCATCGTTGAACTTCATATTGTTTTCTGCAGCCTATTGAAAGATTTTTCTGATGTCCGCCTGGAGCCTTGCCGTGTCTGCAATGGAAGACACTGTCATGCAGATTCGGGTGTCATCTGCAAAGGAAGGCACGGTGCTGTGGCTGACATCCTTGTCTATGTCAAATATGAGGATGAGAAACAAGATGGGAGTGAGTACTGTGCCTTGTGGAACAGAACTTTTCACTGTAGCCACCTCAGACTTCACTCTGTTGACTACTACTCTTTGTATTCTGTTTGTGAGGAAATTAGATCTAATCACCAACTTTTCCTGTTATTCTTTTATCACGCATTTTGTACGCTATTACGCCATGGTCACACTTGTCGAAGGCTTTTGCAAAGTCTGTATATATTATATCTGCATTCTTTTTGTCTTCTAGTGCATCTAGGACCTTGCCATAGTGATCCAGTAGTTGGGACAGACAGGAACAACCTGCTCTAAACACATGTTGCCCTGGGTTGTGTAATTGATGGGTATCTAGATGGGTGGCGATCTTGCTTCTTAGGACCCTTTCAAAGATTTTTATGATATGGGGTGTTAGTGCTATTGGTCTGTAGTTCTTTGCTATTGCTTTACTGCCCCCTTTGTGGAGTGGGGCTATGTCTGTTGTTTTTAGTAACTGTGGGACGACCCCCATGTCCATGCTCCCTCTCCATAGGATGGTAAAAGCTCGTGATAGGGTCTTCTTGCAGTTCTTGATGAACACAGAGTTCCATAAGTCTGGCCCTGGGGCAGAGTGCATGGGAATGTCATTTATCGCCTGTTCGAAGTCATTTGGCATCAGGATAACATCAGATAGGCTTGTGTTTACCAAATTCTGTGGCTCTCTCATAAAAAGTTCATTTTGATCTTCGACTCTCAGCCTGGTTAGCGGCTTGCTGAAAACTGAGTCATATTGGGACTTGAGTAGCTCACTCATTTCCTTGCTGTCATTTGTGTAGGACCTATCTTGTTTAAGTAGGGGCCAATACTGGATGTTGTTCTGAACTTTGATTTGGCATATTTGGCATATTGTGTGCAATAACTGAAGAATGCTTCTTTGAATCAACTTCAAACCTTAAATGTTTGTTTATCTTACTTAGGGAAAGGTTTTGACTGATTTTGAGCAGTGTAAGTGCCAGTTTGCCAGAAATTGAGGAAATTGAAATACTACTCAATTTTGCAACAATTTTGTGAATATCATATCCAATCAGCTTCAAATTTTTAATGCTTATAACTTGAGAATGCAACTCCTGATGAGCTTTAAAATGCCTCTTCTGTTTAATTTTAAATTATCAAAGCTGATGTATCTCAACTGATAGCTCAGACTGGTTATGGTGCCATTTTTATTGAAGAAATTGTGATGTTAGTTTCCATGTGATAATTTGTGAATGCCTACCAGATTTACTTGAAATCTTTGAGGCTGATACGTATTTACCTGCATTAGAAATTTATGCTATACTACATGCTTTTTCCCTTCCATGAATTAAGAGAAGCTTTTCTTGGATCACACAGTGATCAGGAAATCTGGTTGTTTTCTACTCCTAAAGCACTATATGACCCTTGTAGGTTTAGTGCTTCCTTATGTATGTTATACAATAAAATTCATTACCTGCAGGTGACAGCCGGTGCGTTGATGTAGCAGCTATCTACAGGAATGGACAGTTCCAAAATGTTGCAACTACTATGGTTTCGTATGGATATTTTGGTGACTTGTTGAAGACATCCGAGCAGTGGAGGAAGCTTGGACCCACTCGCTACTTGGTGTCTGGCTTCCTGCAGTTTATGAGGAATCGCTCTTACGAGGGACAGTTAAAGGTGTTGACTCCAGCAAACCCATTAGCACAGCCCTACGACATGAATGGTTGCTGTCATGAGTGCAGTGTGTGTGATAAAGCTGCCATGGCTGCACCAGCTGCTGGACAGTGGTTAAAGGTAAGATGATTATTATTATTATAATCAGAGAAAGCGCTAAACCAACAAGGGTCAAAGGTAAGATGATAACCTAAATCCTATGAATGGTATGTATAATTTTTTTTTTTTCAATCTTGACAATAATGAACATTTTTCTTAAAGAGTTGCAAATCAGTTTTTTTCACCCTCATTTCATATTTCTCTTTGTGCTTCTAAAGGATGTAACTGCATAAATTCTCAGTGTAAAATCTATACAGAAGGACCCCCATATCAGTGGGTCCAGTTTCCGCGGTTTCAGTCATCCACAGTTTACCACGGCCCAAAAATTACCCTTAATTTTACTTAATAATGGCCCCAACGTGCTAAAGTAGTGATGCTCACAGTTCTTCAAAGCCTTAGAGAAGCATACACAAATAACCTGCACATAGAAGAGAGGAGCTTACGACGACGTTTCGGTCTGACTTGAACCATTTACAAAGTCCAAGTCAGACCGAAAAATCGTCGTAAGCTCCTCTCTTCTATGTGCGGATTATTTGTGTAACTCTCCAGTCACGGTATTGTGCCTTTTTTTTGTTACCTAAGAGAAGCTTTGAAGTGTTTCAAATCCATGAAAAAGTGATAATTGTCCACTTACTCTGCATACTTTATCAATTAAACTATCATTGGTATGTAAATGAAAAACGACTTACATATAGGGTTCACTACTATCCACGGTTTCAAGTATGTGTGGTAGGTCTTCAAATGTATCCCCCGTGGATATGGGGGAACTACAGTATTCCCCCCGTATCCATGGGTGATATGTTCCAAGCCCTACAGAAGATTCCTGAAACCATGGATAGTTGCAAACCCTACATACAAGTAACTTTTCATTTACGTACATAACTTTTCTTCTTTCAACAAACCGGCCATATCCCACCGAGGCAGTGTTTCCCAAAAATAAAAAGAAAAGTTCCTCTTCATAACTTTAGTAATGGACACAGGAGAAGGGGTTACCAACCCCTTGCTTCCGGCATTTTCATCACATGGCTTACAGAGGAAAAATTCTGTTCCACTTCCCAACATAGTTTAATTGATAAGTCACTCACAGTAAGACATTATGATGTTGGTGGTTGGGGATCGTCAATAGTGGACATGTTTTGTTTTTCAACCATTGGAAAAACATCATGATAGGAGATTGTTTTTCTTTCTTTTCAGCTCATCAAACATTTACTAGAGAGGTTCTAATGTTCCAGTAATTATGTGGGTGACTTTAATACTGTGTTCCATTTATAGGATTGTAATCCATAATATTTTTCCTGGAATTTTCTATTTTTCTGGAATTTTCCATTTAATATTTTCAGGGCATGGTAAACTGTGGATAACTGACACCACAGAAACCAAATCCACAGATACATTAATTCTGCTGTACTTAGCTATGGCTATTTATTCAATAAGAAAACTACTTTAAACACTTCCACAAATTACTAGGGAGGGTAAACCAGACAGACAGTAAGGGGGAAGTACAGGATGGATGAGTAGGAGGATGATACAATAGATGTGAGATTAGACGTAATGGATGATCACTAGGGTTAGCTGGAGAAAGCTGACTGCAGGAGGGAGAAGGGAAAAAGATCAAGGGAGAAGGGACTGATCTTCTTGCTTGATGTCACTTCAAGATAACTTCAAACAGAAGAATATATCACACACACTGTTATTGACAGTGTGTATTTGGAAATGCTTAATGTTAACAGCCACATAAAATTGAAATACATATCAAGACTGTTTATGAATTTATATTAAGTAAAGAGGTAAAAGAATTGACCTGATTAAAAAATATTGATTTTCTTTTCTTTAATAACACTTATTATGTATGGAGCATAATGTTGTTCTACCTAGAGTATACATGGTGAGTGTTCTGAGGGTCTACACTCTAGCAACCTGGTCCCAGACCAGACCTCCCAGTGGATGGCCTGATCATCCATGCTGTTCCTTAGGGCATAGAACCTGCCTCACATCTGTTTCTCATTCTTGCAACTGACATTGACATGTACATAAATCATAGAGCCATAACATCTATTGCTAATGACAGAATTTTTATGATAGTGGCATCTGCTGAAGACACAGTAAATCTTCAGGCAGATATAAATCGAATCGTCTCCATTGGACCTCAAACAAAACTGATGGTTAACGAGGAAAAGTTTCAGTAGCTCTGCTATGGAAGAATGGAGGAAATAAAGAATGTAATGGAGAACAGGACAAGCTCAAATCAGGTATTTTTAGATGCAATGTGCAGAGTCCAATGTATGCACCACAGTTCTGTTAATGAGGAACTAACTTGAGAAACTTGTCAAGTTTTTTCTTGAAGACAATGAGGGTACTGTTGGTAATCTCCCTTTTGTAAGAAGGGAGAATATTGAAAGGTATTGAACATACCAAACTTGCACCATGAACTATTTGAAGTTCAAATCTGCTTAGACCAAAGAACCCAGCAGCCCAATAAAAAGTATCATGCAGGCATTTACATATATTCAAGTATATTAACTAGTAACTTCTTACCTCTTTATCTCTGCCCCCTGTGACCTGGACCAGACCAGATTTCTTGATCTCTGGCCTTACGACTCAAACTGTTGGTGCTTGCAGAACCCTGTCCAATATAAGCACTGTAGCCTGGCTGAGAAGGAACTGTTTTTAAAACCTCAGATATAGCAAGAAAAACCCCTAAAAAGTTGACTCTGTTAAATAAATTTCCAGTGCACCTGGCCCCTCACTGTGAAATATTGACAGTACTGAAGAAGAGAGACTTATAGATCAAGCTTTTACTGGGACAATGATACAGAGCTTTACATTTTCCCAGTAAGAGATTATTCTGCAAACCTGTTTTTTTCTTCTCGGTTGAAGAATGGGGGTCTTGTGCGACATTTGGGTATCTTTATTATGGAAACATTCCATCAACCAGTGGCTTCTTCAGCACAGTACAGAGAAGAATAGTGGAAGTTGAGAAAGAGTTACAGGTAATCAGTCCCTCAGCCTGGAGTTGACATGTTCAGTCCATCATGCATAGAATGTGCTGATGGGTGAGGGTTTTGGGATGACAGAGACCAACCATCACTGATATATATTCAATCAAGCATCTGAATACCAGGGAGAGATTGAAAGTCCCTTGAATCATACTCCTTGGATGATTTTCCTTAAGATGCTGTTGTACTTTTATCTTCAAGTTATAAGTAGAAAATATAATAATTTATGTCTAAGCATTATTACATGATCTCCATATCTGCTTTATAATTCCCTTTGAAATTATTTTTACATTTTAGTGCTGAATTTTATTTTCATATCTCACAAAATACTCAGTTTAAATTAAAATTTATATTTTAATATTAACCCTTAAATGGTCCAAACGTATATATACGTTTTTTCAACATCTGAAAGTATGTAAAAAAATGTTTTTTTCTTTTTGTTTGTTTTACATTTGAAAACATGTAAAAAAAACTTTTATCTACTTTTTTTTTGTTACATTTGAAAATATGTAAAAAAAAGTAGATCTACTTTTGTAGCACTACGAATTTGAATGCCGATTTGTTTGGACCGTTTAAGGGTTAAGCAAATTTATATACAGTGTCTGATATATTTTTATTATAGTATTAGACCTATCTTTAAACTTGTCTTATCAATCCATGTTTTAACACAACAGCCATCTCCCACCAACTCAGGGTCACCCAAAAAAAGAAGAAATGTAAAGTTTTCTTCGCTTATCAGTCCATATAAAAGAATAAAAAAGTAAAATAACTTACCAGATGAATTAAGAATTGACAAAATAATTTAGAAAATGGAATATTTGTGTGTGCATGATTAGTCCAGTCATATTAACATGAATTTCTCTCTGAAATTAATATTTTATTGTAATTTTAAAAGCTACCATTCAACTTGTCAATTCCAATTTTAATTTTAATGAATTATCTTGTAATTTGCTTTTAACCCTTAAGCTGTCCAAACATAGATCTATGTTTGTGCGTGTAGTGCTCCGACCTTGATTTTTCTCCCTAAGAATGTAAAAAAAAAAAAAAACGTAGATCTACGTTTGGACAGTTAAGAGGGTTAACTATTATTTTAACTTGGTCATAATACTCTCTGCTAGACTAGTAAGTATAGAGAACCACACATCTTTATAATATTTGCATCAAGTTGTTTTACTACCAGTCTAGATTACCTAAAATCCTGTGCATACCATAGGCTTTTCATACATTATATCCATAGTGTTTTGAAAATATTTTTTTTATTTTGAATTGCATAGATATCAGTAGGTAGTTAGTAAATAGTATTTTAGGATAATGCTGACCAGAGTATGACTGGTAACAGTCCTTTACGGTAATATTATAATGACAATTCTTACTTCTAGATGATCTCAGGTCATGACTCTGTATGTCAGTTGTATACAGTATCAGTATGATAATGAATTGGGCATAAGTGCAACATCTGGGTATCTTTAGTTTGTAGACGTTTTGCCATCCAGTAACTTCTAATGCAATAGGTAATCAGTCTCTCAACCTTGCAGAATTATGTATGGAAGACTGGAAGGTGAGGTAATCAGCCCCTAAACCTACAAGCAAATATTGAGCACCATAGTCTTGTTGAATCTGGAGTACAGGCAGGAAGATAGGGACTTATATACAGGAGTCAGATGAGGTGCAGCAGATGAAAGCATTGTCACAGGTAGGCAGGACTCACCAGTGGAAGTAGGTCATGCCCAAGAGTTGGGCTAGAGGTTATCAAGTAGGTTGTAGAGATGTCCTCAGTACCAAGATTCCATGATGTTGTATTTGACAAGTTGTATATCAATGGTATATAATATTAGCATGAGTCAGTCAGATAGTAGTAGGAGTCAGCTAGTGACACACACTGATAGAATTAAAGTGAGCCAGAGGTTAGCCATGCCAGTATTTATTGCGAGACTGAGGAGTTTCTATATATGTAATGATTTGTTGAGCTGTGTGAATTGTTTTCTTCATTAAATTCCAACTCTTTTTATTGCTGTTTCACCAGTTCCTTACAAGTAACATATTTTGGATATATAAGCTCTACAATACAAGATTTGCAGTTGGCATACATACTATCCCCAATTTTCACAAGAATCATGTCCTGTTTTGAGAACTGTAATACTGTACATTGTAATACAGTAAGTCACATGACAAGACTAAACAAATAACAGTATTTTTGTTACTATGGTATAATTTTTCAACAGTTCACTGGCCGCTGGAGTGTAGTGACCTCGGCAGTGATGTCCTGTGCTTGCCGCCTCTCTCCTTATGGAGTGTCACCCTCAGCCCATCTTGGGGACGGCTGTACTGACCTTATTTTAGTGTCTGGAGGCTCAAGATGTCGCATCCTCAGCTATCTCTTCCGAACTGCCTATACTGGAAATGCTGTGAGTATTTATGAATATTTAAGATTTAATAAGCCAAAGAATAATTGTAATAACTGAGAATAGTAAAAGTTCTATCTGTGGTCAGTGATAGATGGTTACAAATTTGTAGTTATCCAAGGGTTGTGAGATAAGCAGGCAGTGTAGGAGATGATGAATCTGTAGAGATATTAATGCTCGGTATTGTGTCCCTGAGTTTAAGGGAATTCAATAAGCTATTCATAGTGAGGAGGAATTGAGTTTGATGAAATCGTAGTTTTATTGAAATGATAAGTGAGGCTTCTCTTCTGATTCATGGTGGTTATGTTCTGGGACATCCAACATTTTGAGGAAAATAATTGCCTCAACATCAAAGGGTCAACCTTTTTTCACTGTTCCCTTGTTCTTTGTAAGAATGTGAGCACATTGGTTTATCTATGTAATCAAGCTCTTCTGTTTTGATTCACATATCTTTTCATATAGGTATTGAACAGTGTTAACAACAGTGAGGGAGCTTATCACTAGCTGAGGATTCTGAGTCTTTTTACTTACTGTTTGGATATGAAAGGTTGTTGGGTAATTACAGTAATAATAATGGAGAGATGTTGGAGTATTTTAACTGTAGTGTCAGCATGCCTCTGACAAAACAGTGATGGAGTGAGTGATGATGAGTGTTTCTTCTTTTTTTGGGTCACCCTGCCTCGGTGGGAAACGGCCAGTGTGTTAATAAAAAAATAACAATAGTAATAATTTTACTTGCCAAGAAGGTATGTTAGACTTAGAAATAAGGTTTATAGCATTCATTTTTTATTTGAAAAAGCCCAGAGTTATGCAAAATATTTTGGCAGGCATGCTCTAGGAAAAATATACAAAAATGCAATACATGTATTTGCAAGGCCTAATGAGCTGAAGGTGAGTGGTAAGTACAGTATTTTCTGACATATGAGGTACACTTTTTTTCCAGCAGTCTTAAAATCACCCTTCACCTTATATGCTGAAAGTCAGGAAGAATGGTAGGTTTTGGGTTGTTGCCAAGTGGTAGTTTCAGTGCTACTGTACTAGTAGACTAAACTCCAAAGACAGCCCAGTGTAAAACTGTTTCCCAGATTACTTCAGAGTGATTATTGTAAACTATAATTTACATATTACTGGTACATATTAAGTAATCTATCTTCAGCAGTTGTAAATTATTGTAAAATAGGTGTATATAAACAAGAGTTAGCCATGTTTCATTTGGTGGTTGTTTGTGGTGGAGCAGAAGAAAGGCAGTGCAAGGTTCCACCTCTTTCAGCTACACTATTCACATAAGCAGCCAGTCTTGGCCTACTGTTATTTTGAAGCAAATATTGCACTTTTTTTTTTTATTTTTCCAAGAATATACATTATAAGTCAGAAAATACGGTAGATGCTGCTAAGCTATTATTGATGGAACTAGGCACTATCACCCTTGGTGATGACGGTAAATCAGTAATCATATCTGTCCTTACATATGAATACTGAGCTGTATGCTACTTCATACCCCTCTCAATGAACCAAGTATTCCATTGTAAGTTAAACTGTGTTATGGAGAAAATCTGTCTGCTCCACCACCATCACCACCACTAAAACAACCATGGCCACCTATTGTTTATGGATGGCACCATGGTGGTTGCACAGCTGTATACCGTGTGCACCAAGTGCCAAATCAACCAGGCTGTGATGGATGTGTGTGTGCAAGTACAGTACAGTGGAACCTCAGGTTACGAATGCCCCACCATGCAGATTTTTCAGGATACGAACTGTCGTTAGGTCAATTTTTTGCTTCAGGATACGAAAGAAATTTCAGGATGCAAACTTTCCCCTCAAGGGAGGTTCCTTAAATAAATAAATAAATAAAATATATATATTTTTTTGCAAAGGTTACAGTGTGTGTTTACGTATCATAATATGATTGGAGCAAAGCCACTATCATGCCGAGGCATTTCGGGCAGAAATGCCTACTTAAGACTACTTAAGTCTAGACAGGAGAAAAGTGTACTAGTAGTAGTTACCAATATTTTCCTGATGGTGGCACCAACTACTGGCAGCCTTTTGAAGTTTCTCCTTACTGTTATTATTATTATTATTACTATTATATTGTATTATTATTATTATAATAATAATGATTATTATTATTATTATTAGTAGTAGTAGTAGTAGTATTTACATATATGGTGAGGGGCTCTTGATCTAGGGAACTTAATCTGTGCTCCAGGTCCCTAAATTATTATTATAATATTATTATTATAATATAATAATACTTATATACTAATAATAATGATAATACATAATAATTACATATAATATAATAATAATATACTATAATATAATAATACGTACATAATAGTACAATAATAATTATAATAATAGTACATGTATGTACGTACTGCGTATAATTTAGTTTGACAACACCACCACCAGATATCGGTGTCAATCAAAACAATGGTCACCAGTGCACAAATGCTTAAGGAGTTACCCTCGCGGTGCAAGGAATTCTCGTGATTTCCTCACGTTTTGTTCAGTTAATTCGTCAGATTTCTTTCTTCTGACCATGGGTCCTAAGAAAGCAAGTGCAATGGACAGTGCTGAGAAGAAAAAGAGGATGATTTGCATGGATTAAAGCAAGAAATGATTAACCCTTTCAGGGTCCGTCCCGTAGATCTACGGCTTTACATTCAGGGTCCAAACCGTAGATCTACGCCATGAGCTCAGCTCACTCTGATAAACTGTGAGTGGTACATTTGGGCCTAGATATGAGAGAATACATCTATGTGGTATGTGTGCACCACATAAAACAGATCCTGCAGCACACTGTGTATAATGAGAGAAAAAAAATGAAATCATGATTTTTCGATTAAAACAGCAACTTTGCAATGTTTTTTCGTATGTTTTTTATAGTTGTATTTGCGATTTCTTGGTCTCATTTAATAGAATGGAAGACATATTACAGAAATAGAGATGATTTTGATTGGTTTTAGCACTGGAAATGGCTTGAAACTGAGCTCAAGTAGCAGAAATGTTAAATTTTTGCCGATATTCAAGAGTAAACAAACGACCTCACACGTCTAATACACGCCAGCTGGTGGGTCTAATATACATTCACAAATATGGTGATGATATTTATACAATTATTACAGTATTGCATAACAGTAAATCTTCTATTTTTTGGTGTGAATAAAAATTCATTATGTGAATAAAAAATCAAAATGGAATTTATTTGTAAAGCCTCAAAACATAACTAATGAACAGAGGAAATGTTAGTTTAGTGCCAGGAATGCCTACATTGTTCATTCTGGACCCTATTTTGAAATTGGGAAAATTTTGAACTTTGTGTTAAATTGGCCAAATTAAAAAATTTCCGATCACTTTATTTTGTAGTTGAAACAGTTGACTTGGCGATTTCTTGTGCTCAATCGATAGAATAGAAGTAATACTAGTGAAATAGCTAAGAATTTGGTTGATTGGAATAATGTAATTGGCCTAAAATGGGAGTCAAAGTCGGCAAAATCGCCGATTCGTAAATATCGCTGACACATCAAAATTCGCGAGAGCATAATTTCGTCAATTTTCCACCAAATTTCATACTTTTTGTTTTATTACCTTCACAAAAAGATTCTCTACGATTTCATAAGAAAAAATAACAATTTTTTTTTTTTTAAATTCTTGGACACTGGTGCGTGACTCCAGATTTGGGCCTTGGACCCTGAAAGGGTTAATAAGCACATTATTATTATTATAATCAAGGGGGAAGTGCTAAACCCGTAGGATTATACACCGCCTGTGGGGGGATGGAAGGTATTCAGGGTTAATTCAGGGAACTGGAACACAAATCCAGTTCCCTAGATCAAGAGCCCCTCACCAGCATCAAGGAACCTTCCTTGAGGGGAATAAGCACAGACTAGGTACTAGGGTTGAGGACTTAGCAAGTTGAGTACAAGCGTAGCCCCTCTACTATATGTACAATACTAAAGCAGAAGGAGTCTATAAAGGCTATAGTGCCAGCGAAGGGCGTTACAGTAATTTCTAAGCAGTGGACCTCTGTCAATGATAAGATGGAAAACCTGCTGTTGACGTGGTTGACGGAGAAACTGCTCACAGGAGATACATAGTGTAGTGAGATAAACATAAAAATTGTACATAGCAGTTCTTAAGGTTATTATTATAGTCAAGGGGAAAGCGCTAAACCCGTAGGATTATACAGCGCCTGGGGGGGAGGGTATTTAGGCTTAATTCGGGGAACTGGAGCACAGATCCAATTCCCTAAATCAAGAGCCCCTCACCATCATCAAGGAATCTTCCTTGAGGGGCAGTTCTTAAGAAGTGTGAACTCCTGACAGGATATGCCGCTCTGCATTTCTTCTCCAAGGTATGTAAATGCCGTATGTACACCAAATCTAATGCAGTTAGCCTCACAAACTCTTGTTTTCTCTTATAACACCTCTGATGTTTTCATAACGAGAATGCGCGACCACTCCCGACCACAATCCTCCTGCCTCCACCGTCCATGTAATGACATATTTTATTCATTCTAGAGTGTGTGTCAGGATTCAATGTTATTTATATTGTTTATTATGTCATATTAGATGAATTATAACAGATAAATAAGACATAGAGTTGATATTAGGGTTATTTTGTCATGCCTCCCGAGAGCAGAAATTCATCTGGAACGAATTAATTGCATTTCACTTAATTTAAATGAGGAAAATTGACCCAGCATACGAACAAATCAGGATAAAAAAAGTCCATGGAAAAAGGGTTAAATTCGAAAATCGAGGGTTTCCCCTGTATTCCCGGGGGAGGGTGGG